CCGCCAAAACACAATGGCCATTAAAAACCAATCAAAAAAGCACCGCTAAACCGAACACGTATGGCCTTTCAATCAATTGACGTACGAAACTTCAATTTTCTTTGTTTTCCCCGTGTGGCACGAAATAATCGCCTATGCAGAACCTTCGCATAAGCAATGAGAGCGTGAAGGCAAAAAAATGCGTTCACACTTATTTCGACATCGGGTGTTACGTTTAATGTCACGCTGCTTCTTGCTGAATGAATGTATTGGGAATCGTCGTAAGGAGACGATAATAGGGATTCTCGGCTTTTGTTTTGTTGTGCGTAATTGGAAAACGATTGTGCTGATGGAGAAATTCTTGGGTCGTTATGAAGACACTCGTGACTCATCATAGTCTGCTGTGAAATTCTTCTGCAATATGTAGTGGATATTTTGATAATACGGAGTGATACTGCGTGCAGAACAACCGCGTGGCCTCCGGCAAACTTCTCATCTTCATATTGCTTCCGAATGGGAGCATTGCCGTTTAAATTTAAGTTTCGAATTTGTTTGTGCTACATCATCCTATTACGATCCAAAAAATCCGAGTATGCCATTTTTAGATCGTGCCCCTGCTGTTAGAACAACTTTTGATCCGCGGACAAAATTTCTGCGACAAAGTAACCGACGACAATTTATCTATTGACAATTTTTCCACCGACAATTTTCCCCACATCCATTATTCCCGAGGTACAAAATAACCACCGACAAATTTTCTGGAGGTTTCATTCGGCTTTCATTCTCTACTGAAACAATATCAAGTGCAAAAAAGAAAAAAGTAACTCAGAAGTCAGATATAACATCAATTCGCAATTTTCAATTCAGTAACTCACATTTTACATACAATTCCAATGCTTCCGCCACTTCAGCAAACAAATTCCCCTCGATTCATAGAAGCCCGCTTTTACGATTGATAAATATGAGGTATTCCACGCCAAATGAGTCAACCGCTGACCCTCACCCTCTTGGAAATTGATGGCGATTTTTTCTGCGATTGGGGAGGTTGAAAAACTATATCCCAAATTTTGTCAGATTTTCTCGGCAGCCCAGTTCGGAGATATGATTTTTGTTTCGTTTTTCCGGTTTTTTTTTCAATAACTTGAGGTCTATTCATCCGATTTTGATTTATTAAGCATCATTTTTCATTTTTTACTGCCTGTAAGAATATTTTTAGTGAATTTTTTTTTCGAATTTTTTAGTGGATTTGATTGGAATTGAAAAGAGAGAGGGTTATCGGGAACCCTCCCTACTTACTGTCAATCCGAAATTGTAAACACATGAAATATCGGATAATTTATCGACGGATATAATGTACCAAGAATAAATTGGCGGCAAATGAGATGTCAACAATACAATTGTCGTTGGAGAAATTGTCATCAGTTTTCTTTTCATTTGGAAACTTCGTTCGCGGATCAAGAAGCGTGTTACTAAAAATTGGTTGTGAAATTTCAGGTTTTAAGGTATTTCCTGTACCGATCACCGGGGGGGAGGGGGGTGAAATGGAAGGGAAGTCTTATTGTTCTCGAGCCCTGATTCAATCTCTGAGCACGAAATTTTCCAATTTTCAAGTAACTATTTAAGTGTGCATTTTAACATTTTTTAAATATTGATTTTATTAATCAGATTGATTGATTTTTTGCTCATCACCTACGGGTGTCAACTAATTTTTATTGGATGTTTTTTTAATTATTGAAATAATATTAAAATGTGTCTCGAGTTGGTAAACATGCCGAATCTTTTCTCTCTCTCAGTTCCATGGTTCAACCCATACCTCTCCCATGATGCTCACTGACATTCGGATGACGCGCCTGCGCGTGAGGGCATAATTGCCCCGGAACTCATAATTTTCCGAATCATTTGTTCAAAACTTTCTTATGAAGTCTGAAAAAATCTGAAACTTATACGTGTTCTCAAGAAAGATTTGATTCATCACCCACTAGTTTTTCCTCAATAGTTCATAATTTTTTTGGGTGCCAGAGAAATTTACAAAAACATCCAAATTTCATTATTCTTTTTCTTGAGATTGAGATCTGAAAAAAATGTGCAAGAATTCTCAACGATGCAGCATACTCAGACATTTCTCCCATGAATTTTCCAATTTTTTTTCATTATTTTGACTTTTTACACGAAACACCTTAAGGAAGAAATTTAATTGATTTCAATAAAATCATATGAAATAATAAATTATGTACTATAGAAGCAGATGATGTGCAAAATGACAATTCGAAAGCATATTGCTAATTTATTAGCAAAAAACTATACTATATTAATATAAAAGCAATTTCCCACTTGGTTCCAATTGTAACTACAAAAAAAATTACAAACCCGTCTAAGAATTTTATACTGTAAGGATCTAAAAATGTCAAACGATGAATTTTTCAATGGATAAGTGAAAAATGTTTGCGGTCGTGGAGATAAGTGGGTGTGTGGTATTATCTGCTGGGTGGCATAGGCACTGCTACCCCTACGTTCTTTCAACCTCTAAAGGACAAAGTTCGATAACAAATCCCGTGAAAGGCTGTCGGAATAAGCGATGAAAGGTTTAACCTAAACACCAACAAAAATTTAATAGAACGAGCGTTGGGTGTTGATGCCCTTCCATTATGCCCTTTTTCCGGTCACATTCGATAGTCCTTTTTTCATTGGAAAAAGCAATGAGAACCGATGAGAATGAGGTGTCCCATTCTATCAGCCATTAAATTTTCATATTGCAATAAATAATTTGCTCATGTTCTAATTCATACGCTCACTGAATAAGATTTTAATCATAATTACAACTCAATTCTTTTTAGAACACCCTTTAGAGTGTGAATTTCTGGAATTCAATGTTTGTTGATACTCTGGTAATAAAAGTGGGTGCACACACTGTTATCAATTTTTAGTTAGTTCACACGGTAATTCAATTAAACTGTTGTTATCTCATCAATATAGTTCCGTGCTTAGAATCTGCTTCTTTTTATTCATATTAGAAATTTTCTATTTGGATATTAATATTATTTGTTCGAAGTGAAAAAATCGATCATCATTTTCATTATATTGCATTCAGATTCTCTTATCCTTAACGTAAAAAATGTGAGATAATCTCATAATTCGGGCTATTAATTCTAATCAACTTTGTTCGAAGAAAACCTTAGTAAACGCAATATTAAGAAAGTAGAATCATTTAATTTTCCTCTGACATAAATTTTTTGGACAATTATGATTCGTTTATTCCGCTCAAAAAAAGTACTGATGCAAGTCGACGTCGGCTTGATTCTAACTGATTATTTTCGGCTTGAATCAAAGCGAAAAATCGGTCTGAATCAAACCGAAGTCGGTCTGATTCAAGTCGATTCTTCCGGTTCCGGATATTCCGGTTTGCATCTGTCCGAGTCCGACTTGATTCTATGCTGTCAATTCGACGTGAAACAAGTCGATTCCCGGAATGATTCAGTCCGACTTGATTCAGACCGATTTTTCGGTCTGATGCGGACCGCCTTTTTTGGGTGTCATATTTCATAGAATGGTATTTAATTCACTTTTATGCCTCTAGGGACGGAAAACCGCGATTCTAACTTCGCTTCGCTCGGTTAAATCGCGGTTTTCAGTCCTCGAGGCATAAAATATCGTGTGCCCATAGGGAGTAAAAGTATTTTCTGACGAATGTGACGTTATAACCCGAGCCGAAGACGAGGGTTATAATCACATTCGTCAGAAAATACTTTTACTCCCTAGGGGCACAATATACTATTGTTTGTTAGGCGGGCTTCATGGAAATTCGACACAAGTCGATTATACTCAGGAAACCGCCTTACTCTCTCCATTCGTTCGAGATATTCGTCCGAGTTCTCATTTTCGATTCGAGATATTACTCATGCTTTTTTTTCTTAGAAAGGATCCCTCTCCTTTCCCTTCCTCTTTTTTGGTCCCTGTTTCGCTTCCAGTCATGGAATTCCCTTGCGTTAAGACTTGCGAAAAAGTTAACGCCCACAACTGAACTCGAACCTGATCCGTTCCGAACGTCTTGTCTCAGAAGTCATTCACGTTATCAAATGAGCCAAGGCTATCGGCAAGAATCTTCAGTAATTATCTCCTATCATGATTTGTGGTGGAAGATCGTCTACTTAAAAAAGAATTCTCAGAATGCTTGGTATCAAACATCCGAAATATTCAAAAGCCTAAGAGGAATTCCGTAGATAAGAGAACGCTACAAGAAATACCCATTGCTCCCCGGGTAGAAAAAAAACCGTCTTCTGATGATTTTTCGGAAGATCTTTGGGAGAAATCTTCCGAAAAACCTTCAGAAGATGGTTTTTTTCTACCCGGGTCATATTCAATAAATAATAAGCCAAGGTATTCACAAGTCTTTTACTAATGAATCGTAAAATTTATCGGCGGATATTCGTATGATTGATCAAATTTTCTACCAATCGACGCTTAATTTTCTATGAAATAAAATAACTGTAATTAAGTTGATCAAGCGGTCGCTACAATAGATCTTGATAGATTTAGGTGGTATAGGGGACTTCGTGCGCCTAGTCGCTCCATTCTAGAGTTATATAGGTGAGGTCAGGGCATTGCGTACGTCCAGCCACCTCAGTCTAGAATGCTTCCTTTTAACCTTAATCACCAAAAACTCAAATTGTCGGATAAATTCATACAGACATGACCCTGAACATCATTTCTTCACGTTTCATAACATTCTAGACCATTTGTGATCAAAATTAGAAAATCGAAAAATCGGTCAAATAAAAAGCTTCCATTGGGAAGCTACATCCTGGAAACAATCCATCAGCATTCATTATATTCCTTCTGGAGAGAATCATCAATGAAATTGATACTGGAATTTATTCGCATATGCAATCCCACTTTAGATACTCATCAACGGTTTTTCCTTTCTAATTTAAATAGAGGTTGAAATACCGATTAGAACGAGTAGAATGCGAAGAAGAAGCGAATGTCAACGATGAATTTTGTATTCACAACGGATTTTCTTGCAGAATCGCATTGACCATACCACCAGCGCGTGATGGCGAGGAAGCGAGCTCTATGGGGTATTCTAAATGCTACATGTACAGCGTTAATTTCACTGAATTGTTGAAGAATGGGACGATTCTAGTCGCTGACCCGTCCTGGCAGACTCAGAGGTGTCAGTATGGATGGGACTACAATTTTACGGATATTCCTTATGAGACAGTTGCATCTCAGGTATAGACAGAATATATATTCAATGGAATTTAATCAGTTTTTACATTGTTGTTTACTCATGCGTTCACGCCAGTAATAAAAAACTGAACTTTCAGATAAGTTGTACTGTCATGAAATCAATTGAATTCAATCGATTGGAATAATTACTGTTTTAAATTTTTATTATTGCGCAATCCTTCGTGATATTTCGCTCTAGTAAATAAGTAGAATTAATCAATGACTAATTTATTATCCTAATTCTTCACACGCGCAGTTTGAAAATAAATAACAGTGTTCATTTTCCCCAGGAGCTCATTTCTTCCAATTCAAACTATTGATGAGAATTCCATAATTGGGACATTCCACGTCATTGAGAGGAAAAAAATAGTCCCATTAAAATTTTTGTCGAACAAGTTATAGTGTCTCAGAATTTTTATATCTCAAAGAAATTTTTCCTTTTGATGATTCACCACTTTAAAAAAAGATATTTTACTTTTTTTAATCGGAAAAACATTGAATAATAAGATTTCTGTTATTTATTCTATTCATACTATCAAATGACAAGGATAAAAATTGAATTTATTCTTTATTTATTCTTCCATTATTCAATAAAATATATCCATTGTAGAACTCTCCCAGAGACTTTGAAAAATAATTTTTTTATTTCTTCCCGCCCACTTTTTTGCATTTTTTAAATTATTTCTCGTTGAAATATTGATATCCCTCTAATACTCGAAGAAAAAAGTGATTCGCTTTCTGCAATATATGAAAAAACCGGAAGAAAATGAAAATGTGACTATTTTTTGATCGAAATTACAAACATTTTTCAGAATATTGAATTTTTTTTTTAAAGAAATTTTGGTGTTTTAAAATTTTGATATCTCAAATGAATTTTTCTTTTGATGATTCATAACCAAAAAAAATACATTTTACGGAAAAAATGCAGGACTCTTTTTTTTTTTTGAAAAAACGTTTTTTTTTCATTAAAAAACTTGATGACAAAAACTTGATGACAATTTCTATCGACTTTTCTATAAACAATTCCATTTGTTTAAAAGAATAGACATTTTGTAAAATTCTTGTAAAAAAACATTGTTGTAAAAATCTGAAAAAATTATATGTTGGGGCACATATGTCAGGACCTTCAGCTAAATTTTCAGAATCCGCTCGCTCATAGTTATTGACCAATGATTTTTTTTAAAACAAAAGTCTTAATATTCAATTGAATTTCATCCAAATTATCAGAACAAAAAAGATTTCGAGCTGAAAAAATTTTGAAACACCATAACATCTTCTTTGAAGAAATGTTGTTTTTCGGAAAATTTTTGGTCACGGAGTCTTCCATAAAATATCGAAAAACCAGAAAAAAAATGAAAATGTGAAATTTTTTTTGATCGAAATAAAAAAAAAAGTAGTAGTTCGAATATTTTTTATTTCAAATGTCTCAACTACAAAGTTTTGTTTTTTCTCAGTATGATTGGGTCTGCGAGCAAGCGGCATTACCCACAATCTCCCAGAGCATATTCTTTGTGGGCGCAATTTTCGGGGGATTGATATTTGGATTTATAGCAGACAGATATGGAAGAATTCCTGCACTTGTTGGGTGTAATGTCGTGGGCTGTATTGCAGGATGTTTCACAGCCCTAGCCACAAATTTCTGGCAATTTACACTGTGTCGATTTTTCGTGGGCTTCGCCTTCGATAATTGCTTCACAATGATGTACATTCTAGGTGGGTAAATATTTTCAGATATTCATAACCTAAAAATACGTATCAAGTCTATTTTGGGAAGGTTTCATTCAATGTTGGCTCAATGAATATTTAAAAAGATCTGATGAAATCGCCTGTTCAGTTTCGATCGTTTCTCATAAATGACAAAAATAAGATATTTGATTAGATACACGATAGCTATTTATGTTGAGTAAACATAGGGATTCAAATACAGATACTAGACAAATGCCGATGCTTCGGCTTCTGTTGCCGACGAATATGACGCAAGAATTTTATCGTTTGTTTTGCTTTTTTTATCGACGCATCACAGCTAGGTAATTAGCGAAGGCGCTGGACTCTTCCTTATCGTTAGAAGCACGCGACTATTTCCTTTGTAACTTGTAGGTGTCGATTTTACGAGTTTTTCAAGTGAATTATTCGTGTGTAATCATACATGATGATAGGCAGACGTGGTCATCTAGGTTCTCGAGGCGCGTGCCACTATAGATTGTGTGCACGCTGATAGAAGAAATGGTTTTTATTGAGATGTTTCTTTTCTGGAACAAGTATTATATACTTGGAGCAATTTCAAGTAAATAAGATCTTACGGTGAATATCAATTATTTCTTCTTGAGATACATTTGCTTGAAACAAATAAAACAGTCCTTGGGGTCAAGTCACATGCATTCACCACAAAAAATGGAAAAGTTATATTTTTTTTAACCTAATATAATCTCCAGTGAAAAAATTTTCTACCTTCATGAATTGATCGAAAATTTATACCTAGGAGATCATTACATTGAGGAATGAATTGAATGTTTAAATTGAGTTTTCCGTACATTACATTGAACGAAATTTGTGATATCCAAGTTTGTGTTGAATTGCCGTAATCCGTGATTCTGTTATTGTAAACTAATGCGATTGTTTTTAGTCAAGAAATATAAATTTCTTTCTACTCAACGACATCTTACTACAACCTCAAAGCTTTTTCCATGTAACAATATTCATCTTAATTTGACATACGAAATACTCACTTCAATTATAAGCTACTTGGAACAACGTACGATCATGTTGATTGAGATAACAACGTATTTAGTCATGAGAATAATTTTTATTTTTGACTAAACCAACGAATTTCTGGAGTTAGCAAACTTTTGGCTAGAATGAAGTCAAATGTTTTCATTATAGCGACAAATAAATGGAATTTCAATTCTAGAGAAGTTCGATTTCTTCTAATCAAATGTATGTATCGACGTCGGTGGCCGAGTGGGCTAGACGCAAGTCTAGTGTGTGAAAGGTTGTGAGTTCAATTCCCCGTGGAACCGAATTTTTCAACGGAAGGCTCCGGCGAGCGGGAGGTTTCTAATAGAGTAACTGCCTGTACCGGTATGGGTTTCCTGTGGTTTCTCATGCTACTTCTATGTTCTATAGGAGTGCGAATGCGATACAGTGTAGAATCCACAGCCGCAGCCACAGCATGGTAGAAAAACCGATTTTTTGTAGATTTTTCTTAGCCGATGGCTATTNTAACTGCCTGTACCGGTATGGGTTTCCTGTGGTTTCTCATGCTACTTCTATGTTCTATAGGAGTGCGAATGCGATACAGTGTAGAATCCACAGCCGCAGCCACAGCATGGTAGAAAAACCGATTTTTTGTAGATTTTTCTTAGCCGATGGCTATTTTCATGAGAAAAAAGCGATCGAGTGAGGTCCAAGACAGAGATTTTGAGTATAAAAACGTACTTTTGTTGCGTAATTTTCCTAACAACTTGTTTATGATGATTGGGTGGTATCCAGGAGATAACATGTCCTTTACAGGGCACCAATTGTAAGAGGGAAGTACTTTTACAAGTCAGAAGATGATATAGAATGTTTCCATACCATTATTATTTATTTATATCCATTTATTTATATTTTATGGGCTTTTGTACTTTTCACGTACAAAATCAAAAAAACCACGGGAACTTGCAATACCGATAGGAGGGACCCCTAACCTCTACGTGCGACGGGTTCCGTTACCCCTTAAAGCATTTTCTTGTATACATAACCTTATATGACTTTGTTCGCTATACTCTCTACTTTTTTTGCGATATTGACGACGATATGTTTCTGGACAGATACAGTAGAACCTAGCAGTTCGCACACTGTCAAAACGCATAGGATCTACTTATTTGCATATTTTTGTCATTCCGGCCGTAAGGCAGCGTTTCACGGACGCTTCGCTCCGCGTCCGTGAATCTCTGCCTACGGCCATCATGACAAAAAATATTGTTCGTCATACGGCCAAAAAAAAACTTTTCTGACAAATATGATTGCAGCCCTCGCCTTCGGCTCGTGCTGCAAACCTCATATTCGCCAGAAAAGTTTTTTTCGGCCTAATGACGAAATATTCTATATTCGCTCTAGATATTCGCATATTACGAACTGCCTTTTTATTCCTTTTGTAATTAATCACCCGATTCTGAGACTGGTATCCTGGTATTTCAAATTCGCTTCAAAGTCGATGCGTTGAATAATGAGAAATATTCCAATGAATCCGAGAAACTCTGAAGCTATTGAACTATTTCCTTCAGAAATCCAGAACTTTTTTCTAATAAATGATTTTATTGCCCCATGTTTGTGCCAATTTGTGTAGACATATGAATAATAAATTTATTTGTAATTGAAATTTCTCAACAAATACTTTAATAATGTCTCGCAAACTCAATCTACTCCGACTAATTGAAGAGAGAACCTGTCAAATTCATCAAAGTTACTCTGAGAATAGGTCATTCCTTCATTCCTGAATTATATTTTGTTATGTCAATTTTAATTTTAGTCTTTGATTAATGTGATTAATGATGTAGTTTATGATATAAATAGTTAGGTCGTGCAGTGCAAAAAGTATGTAAACTGCTAGGTCTTGAGAATTAAACTGTGAATTAAATAATCCAGAAATAAGCGTCAGAGAGCTAATATAAGTTTATCGAGATACGCGATAGCGTATCGACCAAGAAAATTTTTGACTCTGATTGTATAAAACATCAGGCCGATCGCTGCCGTGTATCTATACACGAAGCAACTACCCCCACCACTACCTACGAATCATATCCATTAAATAAAATACAAACATGATGAGCTGCATGAAAAATACTCTTAGTTACATTATATAAATTGGCCACAAGCTTCTCATTGATGTAACGTTTTGTTCGAACCAATATTTAAAAAAATACGCGCATAGCAACGGGTTCATATGCACATTCTCGCATTTCACATCAACTCCAATCATTTTTTTGTTACGGAGTTGGTAGCAGTGCAATACAACCACACGTACCAAGGAGGGAAGCCCGGTAATTTACAAATTGAATATGGTGCACGAATGATGAATTCCACAGATATTTATCAATCGACTTTCGTGCACAAATGAATTCTCGAAGAAGCAAATTCAGTCGGAAAATCTTGAATAAATAATTAAAAGTCGGTGCAATTAACGACTGTGGAATAGAACTATTTGTTTTACTTCGATTGTTAATTGGAAAGATGATTTATCGTGTGAAAAATAAATGAGCCGAATTGAATTGAAAATGAAAAAATTTACAGGATATAAAAACGATTCCTTGTTTATTTTGAAAAAAATAATGAAATCTCCCTAAAAAAACAAAAACAAATGTTTTTGTAAAAAAACTGCGCCAAGAAAAAGTTTTTGTTTGATTCTTACTGGGAAGTAGAAATTTTTGAAAATTACCATCATATGTGAATCACATGACGGTTACTTAAGATTGAAATGTAAATGATACGGGAGTCTTCTGAAGATGCTGTGGGTGTCTACTAAATGGAGTGAACGAAATTGTCATGATCTAGAACCTGTCACCGATTATTAGGAATATGTCCCCGTTTTCCAGTCGACCGGAGGGCGAAGCCCCTCGGGGTTGGCGAGCTGAGCGAGCAAGGGGCATAGCCGCCTAGTTGAAGGATATAGGTATAATATGATAGATCCAAGGTTCAATCACGAAAACAATAGTCTGAATTATCATGAGCTCAGCTAAGCACCATGCATTTTGTTCCCGACGAAATACAGCACTCTGAATGGAAATATCTCGATAACTATTAAAAATTCATTGAGACATGCCATGTGAGAAACGAAGGGGATTTTACGACAAATAGAATGGCTTTTTACTCATGTCTTTACGATTTGCAATTATTGAAATGTTGAAATTAGTTCTAGTCCGTGACTCAAGACCTTCAGCTTCTAAGAGAGTGAGTACACGTGCTTTCCTATCAACCCACGTTCATATCTCGAGAACTAGGAGTCATAGAGATGTGAATAACGGTGAAGGTGATAAGGGATTCATATGAAACACCCGTATAGGAGTCATACTATCACTTGGATGAATGAAGTTTCATTGTAGAGCTCGAAAAGATGCTCTAAAACTTGAACAATCGCGCGGAGGACGAAACCCCTCGGGGTTTGCGAGCCAAGCGAACAGAGGGCATAGCCCCCTAATTGAAGGTAGTGATGCCGCGAGAGACTTTACGAGACAAAATTTTGGATCGATTGTCTTGGTCTCAGTGAGCATGGAAATCTTTGGTCCCGTCTCAGTATCGAAATACGAAGTATCAACTCTTCTCGTGATAACTCCGAGGTAATTTATCTCGTCTTGGTTTCAAGTTTTTGGTGTTGTTTAGTATAAATCTCGCTTTTTGTCTCAGTTTGTCTGATCTCGGCATTCTGCGTATAAAAAACGGGAAAAACTGGAAATCAAGATGAGATAAATTGACTCGGAATCATCACGGGAGGAGTCGATACTGCGTATTTCGAGACGGAGACGAGACAAAAAATTCCTGTGTTCATTGAGACTAAGAGAAACCCTCCAAAGTATTCTCTCGTGATGTCTCGTAAAGTCTCTCGCGGCATCACTAGTTGAAAGACATAAGTATAATAAGATGGATGGAAAATTCAATCAGGGAAATAACATTCTGAATCATCATGAGCTCAGCTAAGCGCCATGCATTTTGTTCTCCATAAAATACCGCACTCTCAA